AACTAGCGAAAAGATGGCAACGTCGGTAGACAAATTTATCGCCATTAAACAAACACCTCTAGCACAAGGAATCCCAAGGATTAGGAACCACAAGCCATTACAGAAAGATTCGAAGAAAGAACTACGTAAAAGGAGTGTTTCGTCGTCAGGAATGAGCAGCCGCATGGGCAAGAACGTTTCTTAAAATCACCGCTGAAAATCAACTGGCGAAACTACTAGTCAGTAAGAAGTGCTTAACTAAGTTACTAACTGTTGATACTAAGACTTCGTTGCAAAACGGTTGGTTCACATAAGCAGAGCTGGCTTATGCAGTCGCAAACCAATGTTTCGATATTCACAAGATGAGAGAGGGTAAGCATAATTAAGTTTCGCTTAGCTTTCGCTTCCGACAGAAAATAATTCAAGTCTGGAGCAGATTCCATCAACGCACATACCCTACGTCATTTCTGGCGTTCTCCAGGGTCTTCGGTCAGTTGACTGAGCAAGTAGCAATCCAATCTGTCTCTCCTTAATTTCTAAAAGCATTGGAACTCGCATATCGCAGCTATGACTTTTCAACCTAGAGCAGCGCTGAAGCTGAAGTTGCTGAACGTGCAACCAAGGTTTTCTCAGATCTTACAACATCGGGCTCTGTCGATTTCAGTTTTTGCAGGAGATCGCGACTTCTCTGTTATGACCCGCAACTGAAACTCCGCAGCTGCCGGTCCCAAGCCTGGATGAGAAAAAAGGAGGGGTGGAGACCGCGACGAAGTTTCCGTAAAACTTAGCCACTTGCCCTCACAATATTTCCGTCATCGACACCGGACCCGGTTCTCACCCGGGTTATCAAAGGCCGCGCATATATAGATTTTACTCTTAATCTATATTTAATCATTTGATATAAAGGTTCAGAACTAAAAACGACTTCTATCGACCACAAACTACATCACAACCGCTATCAAGGATGGGTCTTCTTAACAGATAAAATGCCTCATGTCCGCAAGTCGGGCGCTAAACATCACAAAATTCATGAAACGACTGAGGAGAAAACGACCCTTGCCCGAAGAAACTTGAAACGCTACTTGTAAAACAAATAAAAAACTAAATATCGTCGAACAGCATGCTTGACAAAAAATCATGCCTCTGCTCCGAGAATGCCTGTGCCAGTCAAGCAGGACAGACAGCGGCGCGAAGGAACAGATTTTAAGCTTAAAAAACGTAACGACCACGACTTCGAAGCCAATCGTAATTACCAACGCTGAAATCGGCTCTGACAAAGGTGCTGAAAAATACGCGTTTCACATGCCAAGCAAAAATCATTTGACCAATGAGAAATTTGGACGGATGAACGAATCAACGCTGCACCTGCCTGTACCATTGAAACTTAGAAAAAAAGAGCGTTCACAAGTGGATGGAAAAAACCAGCGAGGATACAATTTTATGCCAGACTGACTTTTAGCTGACGAACTACGGCTCGAACCCCATAATATTAAATAATGTTCAACCACGTGGCATACGACTTTCTCAGCCACCTAATTCGTTGTCGTGGCAGAACATAATCGTTGCTTCATCTCGAATGTGAAGTTACGCATGTGTTTCTTCTTTCTTTCCTAGATGGATTCTTCACCACATTTACAAGGAATTCAGTAGACTTGTTCGTTCTAAAGCGCTTTCATTCTCACATTCGAAGGTTTTGTTCAGATATGAACACAAGTTCTAAGCAGAAAGGTAAGGCAATCCTACGTAGTTTTTACCTCAGGTTGCGTGAATAAAGCAGACATACTATCTTTTAAGTAAATTCACCTCTTTCAGCTTTTTTGCGCGTGTATCAGTTGCTGATGAATGGCTTGTTATTCGAAGAGTTCTGAATAGTCAAAATGTTTAATAATGCTTTCCTCATGAAATTCAGTTTTTTCCAAACGCTATGTTTATCAGAACTCAGTCTTCCACATATGCTGACAAGAATTTTGCCGACGCCTCTTATTACTCTAACGTAATTTAATCACTTAAAGTTTAATCATATAAACGTTCGAACGTAGGAATGTGCTAAATGCAATTTACCTCCTCCAAAATCACTGCATTTCTGGAGTTTCGGAACTAACCATAGTCATCGCCATATTCACAGTGACCTGTATATTCGCAACCAATATCACATAAAAATTAAGTCGCAAAGATGGCGTATATTGCAGTGGATTTCATCAAACTGGACAAAGGATAGAGTAGTTATATCGTCCCCGTGACTGACATGACGATCAGTAAAATTTACTTGATACTGCATATATTTGTCACTGCCGCATAACTTATTCGAGACCAGATTTCACCGAGTATTGCACCTTCCCCATCACTCTTGTTCTCCGTTTCAAGGCGGGACTGTTTAAGCAAGCCTCATCATAGTAGGACAATTAGGACAAATGAAGCAGTGCAAAAAGCCGTGAAATCTAGCCATGGCTTTGTCATTCGCTATCTGACATACTTGGGCCCACGAACACCTTAAAATGTCTATGTCGTAGCATACGATGCCTACCACCCCTTGAAACATCGCTTGTGACGAACGCGACGGTTCGAACGGGGCAAAAAATGATGCGAAATGCATCTGACACTACAGCAGCTAAAATACCATACGGCCGTGGCCTGTTTTAAAAGTCACACCCCCGGTAAACAGGAACAAGAAGGT